GTGCTGCACCTCCTCCCCCAGGTGACACTCAGGACCACCTCTCAGTCCCCAGGTCCCATTCCCAGACTTTCCTCCCGTGCTGCACCTCCTCCCCCCAGGTGACACCCAGGACTGCCTCTCAGTCCCAGTTTTTCTCACCTGGTCTCATGTTACCTTTCCACCTGTCTCCTCAAAGCCCCACGCTCAGGCTCCGGCGCCTGTGCCTCAGGCAGGTAAGGCACCAGCCACATACACCTGAACTGGTGGGTTTGAATCCAGCCCGGGCCCACCAAACAACAGTGATAGCTGCAACCAAAAAATAGCCAGGCATTGTGGGAGGCACCTGTAGTCCCAGCTACTAGGGAGGCAGAGGCAGGAGAATCACTTGAGCTCAAGAGTTGGAGGTTGCTGTGAGCTATGATGCCACAGCACTCTACCCAGAGGGACAGCTTGAGACTCTGTTTAAAAAAAAAAAGGCCCCACACTCTATGCTTTGCATATCCAAAAGGAGCCTGTCATTTGAAGCCTTCAAACCTGTCCCCCTCATGTCCTGCCCCTTGAGGGGCACCACCATCCACCCCCAAAGTCAAGCCAGAAACTACCACCTGTCCATCTGCCTGTCAGGAGAGCTTCTTGACCATCTCTGTCAACCTTCCTCCAGGCCCTGGGTGGTGGCCTCACACCATCCCACTATCAAGCCTCCCCAAGTCCCTCAGGTGGTATTTCTAAAATGCATACCCCACCCTGTCACAATCCCACCCTCCCACCCAAACTGCACCTTCCCTGCCCTGAGCTGCCTCCTGTGCCCCACACTGGCCTGGAGTCCCCTTTCCCCAAACCCTGAGCCTGACCATATTCATAACAGAGTCTGCTCAGGTTGTAGGAGTGTCCTGCAGCCCACGTTCCCCCAGGACAGCTGGACCCCCAGGACAGCTGGACTCGGCTGTGGCCTTGCTGTATGGGTACCCCACTGGGTGGCGATGATGAGTGTTTACCTCACTGTTGATCCCACCCAGCACAGGGCCCTTCTCCCTGTCAGGGCGTGAGCTGGGCTCTGCTGAGTGGCCAAGTGAGCAATGTTCTGAGAGGTGCTGTTTTCCACCTGTACCCACAGAAACTCCATAGGGTGTGGAGAGGGCATGGCATGAGGTTCTGGAGTCATGTCGGATATTGGTTTGGTATTTTATTTTAAAAAAATTAAGTTTAGGCTTGGCGTCTGTAGCTCAAGTGGCTAAGGCGCCAGTCACATACACCAGAGCTGGCGGGTTCGAATCCAGCCCAGGCCTGCCAAACAGCAATGATAACTACAACCAAAAAATAGCCAGGAGTTGTGGCAGGCACCTGTAGTCCCAGCTACTTAGGAGGCTGAGGCAAGAGAATTAATGAAGCCCAGGAGTTGGAGGTTGCTATGAGCTGTGATGCCATGGGACTCTACCCAGGGCAACAGCTTGAGGCTCTGTCTCAAAAAAAAAAAGTAAAGTTTAGACTTTTTTAAAAAAAAATGACACCTGCTCTTAGACCACCATTTGTCCCCTTCCCACAGATCTGTATTGCACTCTGGAGGTGGACTCCTTTGGGTATTTTGTGAACAAAGCAAAGACCAGAGTCTACAGGGACACAGCCGAGCCCAACTGGAATGAGGTGAGAAGTCTGCTGGCCACAAGCTTTCCCAGAGCGTCTAAACCCCCAGGACCTCCCTAAGGGCTTCCCCCTAATCCTGCCAGCATTCCAGGAATCTCCTGTGGGAGGGATGAATGCAAGAGATTTTATCTCTGTGCTCGGGAGAATCTCACCCACCCACCCCACCCCACCAAGAAGCAGCCTATTACTGGAGAAGCGTTTGAAAAGAGACTTAAAAGGGCTTTTTGTTCTGCCTTTGTTAGCGCTCTGTGTTTACTTGGTAGGTTTCCATAGTGTTTTTCCAACTAAGTTGGAATTAGCTGGCAGTGACCCTCTGGATTTCCGGAAGCCTGGGGCTCTGCCTGTGGGGGCTGGGGTGAGGAATGCAGCCCCATTCTGGCTCCCCATGCCCTGCTGGTCTGAAGGTTCCTGTTTACTTGTCTCTTGACTCAGGCTGCTGGATTTATATAATTTGTCCCTCTGCATTCCCCCACCTTAGAGAGCTGTTGTGTAAATCCCTTAACCGTCTGGCCCTGAGCCTTCAGGAGTGGGAGGATTACTGCAGAGAGGCCAGTATTGATTATGTTCCCAGATCCATGAGACATGCCATTTCCCAGTTTCTGTAGCAGCCACAGCCCTCGGGGGCTTTGTTCCTGACAGCAGCCCAGCTCAGAGAGCTGCCCTCTAGTGTCTCCTCTGCAGAGGAAGAAACCAGGAGCCACCAGGGTCATGAGGCCAGTGGAGCCAGTGATGGGGCTTGCTGCACACTTGAGAAAATAGGCATAGAAGGAACATTTCTTAAACTGATAGAGGCCATTTACAGCAAACCCACAGCCAGTATCTTATTGAATGGTTAAAATTGGAAACATTTCCACTCAGATCAGGAAGGAGACAAGGATGCCCATTGTCTCCACTGCTATTTAACATAGTAATGGAAATCTTAGCCATCGCAGTCAGGCAAGAGAAGGCGACCAAGTGTATCCAAATAAGGTCAGAGATCAAACTCTCACTCTTTACTGATGATATAATCCTATACCTGGAAAATCCCAGGGACTCAACTTCATATTTCTTAGAAGTGATCAAAGAATACAGCAGCATCTCAGGATACAAAATCAATACTTACAAATCAGTAGCTTTTATATATGCCAACAATAGTCAAGCTGTAAATATAGTCAAGGACTCTATTCCTTTTACAGTAGTGCCAAGGAAGATGACATATCTGGGAATTTACCTAGCAAAGGACGTGAAAGATCTCTATAAAAGGAACCATGAAACTCTGAGAAAAGAAAAAGCTGAAGATGTTAACAAATAGAAATACATACCATGCTCATGGCTGGGAAGAATCAACATTGTTAAAATGTCCATACTGCCCAAAGCAATATACAGATTTAATGCAATCCCTATTAAAACATCATTGTCATACTTTAAAGAATTTGAGAAAATAGTACTTCGTTTTATATGGAATCAGAAAAAACCTCGAATAACAAATACATGACTCAAAACAAGAACAAATCAGGAGGTGTCATGTTACCAGATAACAGCATGGTACTGGCACAAAAACAGGGAGGTAGATTTATGGAACAGAATAGAGAACCAAGAGATGAACCCAGCTACTTACCATCATTTGATCTTCGACAAGCCTATCAAAAATATTCAGTGGGGGAAAGATTCCCTATTTAACAAATGGTGCTGGGTGAACTGGCTGGCGACCTGTAGAATACTGAAACTGGACCCACACCTTTCACCATTAACAAAAATTGATTCTTACTGGATAAAAGAATTAAACTTAAGACATGAAACTATAAAAATACTAGAAGAGAAAACAGTTGAAGAAATTGGCCTGGGAGAATATTTTATGAAGAGGACCCCCAGGCAATTGAAGCAACACCAAAAATCCATTACTGGGATCTGATCAAACTAAAACGCTTTTGCACAGCCAAGAGTACAGTAAATAAAGCAAACAGACAACCTTCAGAATGGAAGAAGATTTTTGCAGGTTATGCTTCCAGCAAAGGTCTGATAGATAATTAGAATCTACAGAGAACTCTAATCAATAAGAAAAGAACAAATAACCCCATTTCTATGTGAGCAAGAGACTTAAACAGAAACTTCTGATGAAGACAGGCTCATGGCCTACAAACACATGAAAAAATGCTCATCATCCTTAATCATTAGAGAAATGTAAATCAAAACCACTTTGAGATATCATCCAACTCCAGTAAGATTAGCCCACATCACAAAATCCCAAAACTACAGATGCTGGTGTGGATGGGGAGAGAAGGGAACACTTCTACACTGCTGGTGGGAATGCAAGCTAATACGACCTTTTTGGAAAGAAGTTTGGAGAACACTCCACAACTAAAAGTAGACCTACCATTTGATCCTGCAATTCCTCTACTAGGTATATACCCAGATGATCAAAAATTATTTTACAACAAGGACATCTGCACCAGAATGTTTATTGCAGCCCAATTCATAATCGCCAAGACATGGAAACAGCTCAAGTGCCCATCGACCCATGAATGGATTAACAAATTGTGGTGTGTGTATACCATGCAATACTATGCAGCCATAAAAAGATGGAGACTTCACATCTTTTATGTTTACCTGGATGGAGCTGGAACATATTCTTCTTAGTAAAAGTATCTCAAGAATGGGGAAAAAAGTATCCAACGTACTCAATACTACTATGAAATCAATATATAGTCACCTACACATTCGTATGAATGGCAAAACATGGCTATAGTCCAGAAAGTAGAAGGAAAGAGGAGAGAGAAGAGATGGGAAGTGGGGGGACATGGGAGGAGGGAGGGTATTGGGGAGGACCTCACCTAATGTGCATGATGCAATGGAACATTTCAAACCTATTTGGCTCGGCAGCGCCTGTGGCTCAAGTGGCTAAGGCGCCAGCCACATACACCTAAAGTGGCAGGTTCGAATCCAGCCC